TCGCGTGCGGGTGACGTCATCACAGCCACTAAAACGCGCAGCGCAGGCCAGGGGAAGTGACAAAAGTAGGATCCGTAATCTGTTTAAACAGATTAGTTGAAGTAATGTAATCTGTTTAAACAGATTAGAAGAAATATCGTAATCTGTTATAACAGATTAGTGGAAATACCGTAATCTGTTTAAACAGATTATAATCTGTTTAAACAGATTAGAAGAAATATCGTAATCTGTTATAACAGATTAGTGGAAATACCGTAATCTGTTTAAACAGATTATAATCTGTTTAAACAGATTAGAAGAAATATCGTAATCTGTTATAACAGATTAGTAGAAATACCGTAATCTGTTTAAACAGATTATAATCTGTTTAAACAGATTAGTTGAAGTACTGTAATCTGTTTAAACAGATTAGTAGAAATACCGTAATCTGTTTAAACAGATTAGTAGAAATACCGTAATCTGTTTAAACAGATTATAATCTGTTTAAACAGATTAGAAGAAATATCGTAATCTGTTTAAACAGATTAGTAGAAATACCGTAATCTGTTTAAACAGATTAGTAGAAATACCGTAATCTGTTTAAACAGATTATAATCTGTTTAAACAGATTAGAAGAAATATCGTAATCTGTTTAAACAGATTAGTAGAAAGTGTGTTTTTTTTTCTTCGTGGCACTAATGGTCTTTCGTACTTATTATAGTATCATTATATATATATTGGACTCCATGGAAGAACAGAGCCATTAGGTTAATGGCTCTGAAATGGACTATCCAACCGTTTTTATCATTCTATCATTGTTATATAAGTCTTTGATTTTGTTATATTGTGTTATTGTTTTTTATGATGATTTTCGGAAATAAAACAAACAATGCGCTAAATATATCAAAATTTATTATCATTATTATTATAATTAATTATGAGCCAGGACAACAAATATAATAACAATCACAATAATTACAACTAAAATGATAGGAGATAGAGAGATCAAGAGTAATAGAGAGAGAGAGATAGAGAGAGAGAGAGAAAAGGAGAGAGGGAGAGGGAGAGCGAGAGCGAGAGAAAGAGAGAGAGAGAGGGAAGAGAGAGAGAGAGGGAGAGAGGAGAGAGAGAGAGAGAGAGAGAGAGAGAGGGGGGGGGGGGGAGATAGAGAGAGGGGGAGGGGAGCTGTGGGGGAGGAGGGGCAGAAGGCACACAGAATGGGAAATAAAGACGAACAAAAACAAAGTACCTTTCCTTACTTTAATATATGATATAGTTAATCGGAGTGAAAAATTGGAAGGGGTCGGGCTTGACTAAACTGTGTCCTATTGGATTCAAATTTCAAAGAGTACCGCGAACGCCACCAGCAACAAAACAACAACATCAACATCTAAACGTGTTGCCGACATACCAGCAACTTATGCAACAAGTAAAATCAAATTGTATAATGCTTCTAACTGTGTTTGATTTGTCAATAACGCACACAAAAAAGCACACTTTTGCCTGGAGAAATTTGGAATGTGCATTTCCCTCCCCATTCATTCTATAGTGACGCCCTTGTGTAGACTACATTTATCGGACAATAAACTTACACGGAAGCAGCCAAAATTACTCATTTGAAAATAAATAACAATCTTCCTCATTATTTACGGACAAATGTTTCTATCTTTACATGAAAATATTATAGTCATGGAGACCACATCTGTGGGTGTAGTGAAGATGAATTCAAAATGCCATTGTTCAAAAGATAGCAATGATGCAACCAAGACATAATAGCAATGACGTCATGAATATATCTCTCTGTCTCCGTGTGTGTGTCTCTGTCTCTGTCTCTCTGTCTCTGTCTGTCTCTCTGTCTCTGTCTGTCTCTCTGTCTCTGTCTCTCTCCCTCTCTCATCACCTTACCCCGTCCACATCTCTCTTCACCTCTTTCCCAATCTCTCTATTTCTCTCACTCTCTCTCTCTCTCTCTCTCTCTCCCTAACACTCTCTCCCTAGTACTCTCCCCCTCTCTATCTGTCCCCTCCCCTTCTCTGTTATCACATATCACTCAGAGTATGTATCATCGACCATGTTGCCGGAACAATTAGCTTAAAACTATGCCTAGCAGCATTGAATACCAAACACATGTCTTTAATCACTTTTGCCTGGAAAATGATTGGAATATGCCTAAATATAATTATAAATTATCCTAGATTATACTATATGAATACAGTTTAATCTAGGATAAATCAGTAATTATAAGCCACAATAAATCTGAGACTGTTTTCGTTTCCTATTTCACCCACGCATTATCATACAAATAGATAATTTTGTTTACATGTATAATTATATAGCAAGCATAATTCCGTGGAGGCCCTTATTGAGGAGGAAGGGGATGTGGTGTCAAATTTTCCAAAAGGTTGCCCACTCCCTCCCCCCCTCCCACCTTGATAAAGAGAGATAAAGGTTGGCAATATTTCATCCGAATAAACCACACAAAAAAGAAACCCTTTCAAAACGAATTGATGCGACCCATAAATAGCTTTAACAAATCTGTCGGCATAGTCGGGTCGGGAATGACAAGAACAACAATTTCTTTTTAGGAGGGGGTAGAGGTAGGGGGGTAGGGTGGGTACATACGTCTGATGACGACCCGTTTCGGGTGGACAAGTGTGTGTCAGTTTTTCGTGTTTTACACCTGTGACATAAAGTTTTATTTATGGGGCTACATGGAGTTAAATAGACCGACCGCACACCAAAGACGACAAACGACGAAACGACACGATACCACGACATGCTAGAGGACAAACGACAATAATAGTCGGGGTCTCTGGGGGAGGGGGAACCCACCGACTATGGTTAGAATGGATTTTTTTTCTTCCAACAACTAAGTGCTATAACGTGAATTGTCAACTCTTATGAGTGGGCTTGACGGAGTCACACTTTCTGGACAGGCTCACAGATTTGTAAAATCTTCCATTTCAATTTCATTTAATTTTTCCATTTAAAAACAATATGAATACAAATACATGGCTAAAGTAACATTATCATGATATTAAATGGTGGGATACCCTTACAAGCTAAGAGCTTTGGGCAGAGCCCCAGTTTTTACAAAATGATGACATTGAACAATATTAAAATAAATCTCCGCATGAGATGGCGCTCTTTCAATTTTGCAGAGCAGCTAAGTTTAATTCAATTCTTCCTCAGAATTTGCTGTCAACGACCCGGAAGCTTGTTGAAGGGCTTACACTACATAGCCACAACTATTATATAAACAATAGATTCTGTCATATACTCTTGAATAGAACGTGGATTCATTCTTTTCCATCACAAATTTGGAAAGAAAATATTTCATACATTAGATACGAGTGTATTTAAAAAGCTTACAGGAGGATGCAAGTGTCATCTACAGGACATACAATGTACAAGAGTTGTGTTAAAATAACCAACTTAATCACTGAATTCGTATATGAAATCGAGGGTAAATGACCAGGCACTATTCCGTAAAAGAGAGGCATCTAGACATAATCTAGACAAATATATCAGAGCGACATCAACGATAGCAGATAATGCAAAAACCAGTGCTTTGAAAATTGTCAAGCTTCTTTTGTTTACATCATGAGTAGAGAGATTGGTGTCCGTTCTTAGCCGCTGCGTGTCTCATCCGCTAAGGCAAACAACATTTGATTTGGAATGGTTGGACTAACGATATCTCACTGGTCACATCTCTAAGTTTCACAGTAGTCCCATCTGCTTGTATAGTACGATGTCGCAAGTTAATACATATCTCTCCTTCAAGTTGACCTTGTACTTCGTACTTCGCATTTCAACCCATTCTTAATCAAGGATGATTAACACACTATCTTCGTGACAGCTTAGCTATTAATTATTACAGTAACCAGCCTTGTGTGTTTTGGACGTAGGTATCTTTACAACGAGAGGACCCTGCAGGTAAGGTTCTATCATATTTTGTTCTGTTTTGCTTTGATGAGATCCCTACCAGCATTTTCATATTTTAGTTGAATTTAGATCTGACTTTAAATGGCTATGTTTTGTTTTGATGATAGTCATAACATTCAGGTATTTTATTTAAACAAATTCTCAGTTATCGACTCGAGCATTCATGCTTTATGATAATTGGCTTATGCATTTATCTTAATTCTTTGACTTACCTCCATACTTTCAAGTTTTCAATTATATATATATGCATTTGTGTGTGTATTTCAGTTGCCACTCTTTATGTTAATCAATTATATTTTATACTATTATTGTTATTCAAATGTTTTGTATTTTATTTATCAATAAATGCAGAAACATCTGCTAAAAATAGATTACGCTAGCATTTTATTTCAATATATGATTTGAATTAGAATATAAATTTGATAATTGATGCCTGTACTATCATCGGAGTTTGATATGAATTTTAGTCATGTATTATTTGATTTGATTTGATTTGATTTATTGGTTTCGAGACAAAGAATGACGATTTGGCTCAATATATAGCTTAATTAATAAGTAACGTATATTTCTACATGTATAATCAGAGTCGGCTTCTGCTAATCGGTGAATTAACATTATTTCGCTAATAAGCTTTGATCTTTATATTTTAATCATTGCTCGTGTTGCCTCAAAATCGTTTCCTTGATCTTTGGACGAGCATTTGTTTGCGTGTTAAAGACAGTCTTCATTAAATACTAAAACAAAGTGATTATGCTTTTGATATAGTAAAACAACCCGTCAGCAAATTTAAAATTCGTGTTGTCTCTCATATCCTCCCCCTTTTTTTCGCTTGTTAGAATACAAATTTAGAAAATATCGGCAAATTAAAAAAAAATTCACGAGCAGATTTTCATGCTTGTCAACAAATTATTTAATCATCTAGATTATGATCTTTTTGTACAATATCGTAGTACTCAGTATATGTTTACCCCTTTAGGTAATTATCATTACGTTTTAAACAATTACGCACGCATTGTAGTTTGATGTATTGTACGTCTTAATTGTCTTGTTATCATTAAGGTGACCCCATCATAAGCCTTGAACTGTTAGGGGATCTAGCCTCCATCTCGTATACAATTATGTAAATGCAGTCGTTTAATTTATATTCATTTGTTAACGTAAGGAAATTAATGTGTTTTTTTAAAATCTGAATCTGCATCTCTCACGTTCGGCATCGAATTATCTTTAGCTTCTTAGGTGTCCATATTCTCTCCGTTTTTCCAATACTTTGATAGAGCTTTTCCGAGGCACAAGACAGACCTGGGAACTAAGACATCATGACTGGGCAAGATGTCCCCAAGGAGCGACCAGTGAAGAACCACCCTGTTGTGGAGAGAGTCAGGAGTGTCTCGGTGACGGGATCGGTTGTCTCCTTTCATGACGTCAATTATGCGGTCCCGGTCAAGATAGATGGTCAACTGACCAAAAAAGTCATCCTCGACAGAGTCAGGTTAGCAGTACTTCTACTACTACCACCACGACCATCACCATCAACACCACCACCACACAGCGTCACTAATACCACTACCCGACCGGCAACATCATAATTACCATTTGACTTCATCCTCATCTTCATCATCATCACCACACCATCACCATCATCATCGTCGCCATCAACACCACCAACACCACCACCATCACTAAACTACCACCACCTCCACCATCATCAGCGTTATCATCACCACACCATCATCATCATCGCCATCACCACCCCTCCACCACCACCACCACCACCACCACTACCACCACCACCACAACAACATCACCACCATCATTATCATCACCACCACCACCACTACAACAATAATACAATACTCCTTCTTATCATAAACAAAAATCATTATGAAAATAAAAGGGCCTATACTGTCATCATCATCAACATCATTATAATCATCCATATCATCATTATCGTCGTCATTATCATCACTGCTAAGCAGCTATTACAGTAAGTAAGAGGGTCATTGACAAATAAATAAGTCTTATAGAGGAGGCGGGGATCTAAGATCTAGAGGGAAAACAATTTTTCTTATAATATCATCCGTAATTAAATATTTAGTTGATGTAAAAAAGTATATTGTAATTATATAGCTTACAAAAATATTAATTAATCCCATTTTCACAATCATTATTTTTATTGAAAGAGGTAAGAAAATGGTATTCCAACTGATGGGCAACAGAGTAAAATAAATTCAATTATGAAATAACTATTTGTATTGCTCTGTGTCTGTATTTGTTAGATTAGATTATATTATTGACTAAAGGTTCAATTGGCAGACCCTTTGTACATTTATATCATTACGTCAAAATTAGGTTATATTAGTTCGGATTTTTTACCTGTTGATTATCCTGCATGTATAACGTTTTAAGAGGTGTCGTAGTCGATTGGTTACTTTGAACACTTGTCTGGACATGCGAAGGTCATTGGTTTTGAGCGCCGGCACGGCACTACTGTCCTAAGGCAAGGCATTTTTTCTCTCCACCCAGGTATAAATGGGTACCCGGTATATAGGATGTAGAAGTCATTGCAGTTTGCTCAGCATTGTGCGCTCCCCAGGGAGTGGAGAATGTGCATACATTTTGTGTGGTCAAGCCTGAATCCAATAACCAGTTTCTTTAAGGCGCTTAGAGACATCGAGGATGCACTAAGCCCTTTCTAAAGCCAGAATGTTAGTATTATCATTGCCATTCAGACGGTTTCGGCGGTATGTACATGCATGCATGTATTAATAGTTTTTGTCATTAACCAGTGAAAATGTTATGTTAATGATGATTAAATTAATTAAATAACTAACTTAACTATCTACCCAAGTCGCATCTCTGAAATTTTCAAGAAAAGAAATAAACAGTCAGTAAGGAAAAAATGATTTAGATTTTATGTAAGAATGGTAAAATGCTATTCTATTCGATACCTGAGCGCTACAAATACTAGCTGAAATATTGATAGGACTATGACAGATTTTCACAATATTTCTTTTCTTCTCAACATGTACCATCAAAACTGGTACCCTTAAGAGGCAAAGACATTTATAATGACCATATTTTGCATGACATAATACACAACGTTGCATAATGTCCTGCCATATGCAGGCTTATATCTGGATATTAAGTTCACCGTCATATTAAAAAGAATTTCATATCGCTATCTGCGTGTGGAAAAGATGGTAATTTGTTAGGTGATTGAACTTTGCTCTCACACAAGTAGCAGATATAATCAGGATGAACCCTTATGAAAGGACACACTCAAAACCACTAGAAAAGGCGTATCCATCATTTTCATAAGTGGGGGCGGGGGGCGGGTTAAATGATTGACAAGCCGCGGAACCTCCATCGTGATTTGGGTAGCGTAACATACAGCGCCGTTGTTAATATATATTCAAATAAATGGCGGCTAATTTCCCCCTTGTAGATCCACCTATGTATTTTGATGAAAATTAGTAATAACTATTTTCCGTACGTGGGGGCGAGGGCGGTGGAGAAAATTGTGAATGGAATACTTACAAAGTAAAAAATGGAATGGGTTACAAAGAAAAAAAATAACCATTTATATATCGACAATTACGACATCTTTAAAAGCCCAAGTATTATTTTGAATATCGTTCATGTTGAAATAAAATTCTGAATACTCTATGTCCTATATGACACCATCGGTTGCTTACTCTTGAAGAACGTTAATTATTAACACCTATGAACTTGCATATCTGTGTACATAAGCTTGCATGTTATAGTACGCTGGGTACGAACTGATTGTTAATCGG